TGAAAAGCTTTTACCCTCTTCCACAGAACAAGGAAAATAAAAACACTTTTCCTATAAATGAATAATGAATATGTAATGAGAGAATGATGAAAGTTTCTGATATAATTCTTACCAAAACAATTAGTTTTCAAATCACAGTTGAAGAACCTCATGTGAAAACGATAAGCTATACATTTAAACTGTGCTTAAATCTAATAAAATTGCTTTTCATAGACTATAGTGGTATGGCAGCTTTTTTTTTTTACTTGAGTATGTTGAGAGTCAGAGTATAATCAGCAGAAAATGTGGAGTTAGAATAAAGACAAAATGTTCAATGCATTATTTTCCTTGTTAGGAAAAAAAATAATAGAGGAGAGCCATATTTCTTAAACAAGAAGCAATCCAAATGCAAAAATAGTCTATTTCCTCCTCTAAAAAGCAATGAATATGTGTTCATATTTTAGCAAGTTTCTATAATAAAATCTGTTCTCATTAAATCTCATATACCTACATAACTTGATAATTCTGAAATAACCTAGATTAGTTTCTTAAAAAACCAGCAATATGACCCATCTAACCTCATGACAGCAGATAATACGTCCCATCTGCAAATCATCTTGCTGTATGTTATCTGTGTTTTATCATTTCTAGTACCTGTCTGTGCCTGATATGGTACTCTCAGACACATTAGCTTGATGGAATGTTTCACTTGACTTCAAAAACATCAATTGATATATATGCACCCCTAAACTATATTTAAACAAACAGCTCTTATATCAACCAAAATTTCAGTTGTACTATACTATACTTTTAGAGAATGCTGTTTGTAAATATTTGAAAAGTATATATGAATTCTTTGACTAATAAGAGAATTCTTTCAAACTTAGAGGTAAATAACATAACAAAACTGAAAAGTATAGAAAATATTAAAAGTAAGGCTTAATGCCAATGTATATTAAAACCTTATTAAAAGAAAATTCATTTATTCCAGTACCTATTGTGCTAATTGAAAAAGAATTATTTAAAACATCACTAATTTCTTCAATAGAAGATGGATATGTGTAGCAATTTTATCGGTGACCAATAATTCAATAATTCCTTTTTTAAAAGTCAAATAGAAACAGACATAATGCCACCAAAATTGATCATTTATGTTTTGAAAGTAGTATTTTAAAGCTTTAAAAGAAGAACTTGCCAGATATGGTCATATTTTAAACATATGCTTTTCCCTTACTAAGAAAAATATCTGTCGCCTTCTGCTACTAATGAAAAAACATCCAACAGACAATATAATATTCCTACTGAATGCCATTTCTTCCAGTTATTATTACTGAATCCAGTATAGAATCAGCTTAAGGTATAGAGATAGTGTCTTATTAATTAATATTTACATTTATTTTTCTTTATAGTATAATGTTTCGAGTGTTATAGTTAGATATTATACTATTATAGGAATTTGTGTCATGCTCCATAATAACAAACTCATAAATTTTGCATTTAAAAAACATATACACCAAGACAAAGTTCCTTCTGATTACTTCCAAAAAAAACCCACTAAGAATAGCATTAAATAGGACAAACAATGAAAAATAAAAAAATCTATCTATTTTGCTACTATATGTGAGGGGATATGGTGGGAGAGCAAAGGAGAAAGGGGGTGTTGATAGTACCTGAGAAAAGCAGCCGAGGATGTCAGTTGTGCCTAGGGAATTAATGACCTAGCAATAGCTAGGTCCTGGCTACTCACTGCCTTTGGTAATGAACTAGATCTAATAAGTGTGGTGCACACTTGCTTGCTTTCAGAGTCTGAAGGATTTTTTTTTTTTTTTGGTTGGTTGTTGTTCTTGTTGTTTTAGGATAAGGACAATCGGTCTTGAGTTATGAGGTTTTCAAAAGTGTAGGAGAAAAAAACCTACATGCCATTAGGCCTACTGTTCATGTGCTCACATATGTGTATTCGGAAAGATGCTCTCAAAAGTATATAGATCATACATTCATGGTCTGATGAGTATTAAAAAATCAGTCATAACTTTTGCCCTATTATAAAAAAATGAAATATTACATTGGTTCAATAAAAATCAAATGCAACTAAGGAAAACCATGTCCCCACTTCCCACCTGAAAGGTTACACTCTTGCAGCCATAGCAAAGCTAACCCTATCCCACTAAACTTATGGGTGGATTTAGGATGTTTGCTTGTTTGTTTTAAAATAAAGAGAACCTTCTAGTAGGTATCAGGGGAGGAGGGAGCCTGATGAAAGTACCCAATGCTGAGTGTTGGATTCCACCCTGACTGCACAGATAGAGGAAAAGTCGTGTTCATGGCTGCAGAAATCTGGCTTCCACCAGAGAACATGCAAAAGCTGACCTGCGGGTGAGGCTGAGAAGCCAGGTAGCACTCTCAAGAACCAATCTGGGTACAAACAGGGAGAACAAGGCCACTGTTGCTAAGAAGCCCAGGCTGAACAAGAGTGAGACAAGGAGAGGCAGCAGATCTTTCCGGGCTCCCCCACCGTGAACACGAGCAGCCCCAGGGGGCTAGGCCCTGAGGGGAGGGGGGGACAGTAGCTGCAATCAGGACACAGATACAAATTTGCTGAGTGACCTCTGGGGCGGGGGTGGGAGGGAACACAGAGACAGGTGAGCAATCCAAACTAGAAGCCTGAAGCCCCTACTCAAGCCAGGATACAATGCCAAGCCTGGACTAGTCCTGGTGGATTAGAGCATAGAGGGACACTAACAGCCCCCCTCCATGGGCGGGGTGTGCAGAGTCGGTATACTGCCAGATTCACACAACCCAATCACGCTGCACCCCCTTTCCTCTTCAGTCTGCACCCTGCCGCCAGTTTACCCCTCTAACCAGCAGTTCCCCCTCAACCGAAAAATAAAGAGAGCTGAGGAACTGGAAAGTCGAGAGAGAGCAATCAAAGCCAGGGCTACGCTGTCAGTCTCCCGGGGTGCAGGGGCCTCCCAGGGCTGTCCTGGCTGGTTTCACCCTTCTTCGGAAATCCTGCAGCCCAGGACGGAGCTGAGTAAGGCCAGGTCGGCCAAGCCCGTGCCTGCGGGCCTGGGGCCTCAGGGACGAGGTGCTGAGTGCGCAAGCTAATTATACATGTGGCATTTGGGCAGCCGACTGTCCAGTGACACCTTACCTTATGAGGAAACGTCAACCCAAGCAACTGTTCAAAACAAAATGCCATCGCGGGATCAGCTTCGCCGGCTCTCAGCCGTCTCGGGATTGCTTTTCCCACAGCCTCTCACACTTAGCGAAAGAATGTGGCCTGAGGAGGCCAGCCGTGGGGGGGAGGGCCCGCCAGGGTTGTGGGGGACAGGCGGGGAGGTCCTTGCCAGGTGTCCGTCCCGTCCCCCCTCGCCATGGACCAGCTCGCGGACCCAACCACTTGACCTTTTTATTCACCAAACCCTCCTCCTAGAAATAGACTGGGCGGGGCTGCGTCTGTTCTCCTCGGGACCCGGGACCTGGGCATGTGACTATAAAGGGCAGGAGAGAGGAGCCCCTGCGGAGGCGGGGGAGAAGGGGCACTCGCGCATCCCGACTCCACTGGGTTGTTGCCTGGGCCGCCCGGCCGGGGAGAAGGGCGGGCCACCAGAGTGCGCGCCGGGGTCAAGCGCCCCGGACCGGACAGGGACGTCATCCTAGTGCCCCACTGACAGTGCAGCCGGAGGGAGGCCCAGAGCCCAGCCCAGTTTGCCGTAGCGACGGCTTCGGGCCGTCTCCAGACCGAAACTTCAAGCACGGCCCCCAGAGGAGGTCACACGCACAGACGCGGACGGGGACAACCCATCTCGCTCACAGCGCAGCCCAGCCAGCAGAGTCGAGTCGTAGGCTCATTTTTAGTCCCCAAGTAGGGGCAGCATGCAATATCTGACAATCCATACAAACAAATGTTTTCAAACTTGGTCAGCCTAAGAGAACTTAAATAAAACTAAAAACACGCCGGCAACAGCCACCTTTTATCTGCTCGGAACACACCAATTCTCTTTTTTTTTTTTATCTTAAAGCTCCTCGGAGCGCCGGGGAAACAGTCCAGGAAAGGGAGCTAATCTGCCCTCCGCAGCCGCAGGCGCTCCTCCTGGCGCCCGAGCACAACCCCAGCAGACTCTGCACAAGCCCCTTCCTTTCTCCGGCCGGCCCTTTACGGGAGAAAGAAGAAAGCGGCTCCCCCGAGAGCAGCCGGGCTAGGGCCGGTGGCAGCACCGCCCCCGGGCCTGGGCCGAGCCCCGGAGTGGCAGGTCTCGGTGGGTCTGCAGAGCTTGCAGCGGCCGGCGGGCCCGGGCAGGGCGCCGAGAAGGACGAAGGGCGCCGGCCGGGCTCAGGGACGCGGAGTGGGAGAGCACCGCACCGAGAAGTGCCGGCTACTGCGTGCGGGGGGCCCGGGATTCCCAGGCCGAGCCCGCGCCCCGCAGGGCTGGGCAGCCGCTAACACACGCCCCCGCCGGGCCCCGCACCTCTGCCCCAGGCTCGCAGGCAAAGAGGACCACAGATTAGCACTTGGGTTTCGGATTGTCTTGGAATTCGGTTTGTTTATTCCAAAGAGATCATAAAAAGTCATGTCCAAAATTAAGCGTAGGGGAGAGGAAGCGAGAGAGCAGAGGGAACTGGAGGAAACGCGCGCGGGGTCCCGGGAAAGTTGCGGCGGAGCAGCGGTGGGGTGAGTGTGGAAGGAGGAAGGAAGCGCATGGGTTTTCTAGCGACCCGGGTTTTCTTTCTGAACTCCTCCCGGGAAACTTCACCCCGGAGGAGAGCGCCACGGAGATCCTCGACTCTCGCCCGCCCTCCACCAGCGTCAAACCCACAAATAGCCCAAGTTTCCAAACCAAAATGGGGGTGGGGTGGGGGTAGCGTTAAGAAGCCCAGAAACCGAGTGGGTCCTCCCCACCTCCCGCACCCCAGCCTGGCTAACACTGAAGCGCTCCGGAAAACAGCGGCATCGCAGTCAGTCACACGGCGAACCAACCCAACACTTTTCAAGAAAACAAAATATTCGCTGGGAAACTTACTTTGCATTTAGTCTCTATTCTTTGGGGGGATGCGGTTTAGGTCGGCTCGTAAGGAAAGCTCGTTTTGTCCAGGTTGGATATTGTCTACTTATGGATCAGCCCTTGGGTGAAGGTTTATTTTAATTTATGGCTTATGCATTCTTTTAAGGTCGATTTACATGACCTCCGGCTACAACTAAGACAGCCGAGGAGGGCACTCCAGTCGTCAGTCGGCCAAACCCACAATTAAATCAGCCCTCCCCCTAGTCTTGGTGTGACTGGGACTCTCCCGGGGTAGGCTGGTTGCCTGCTTTCCTCTTTTTTCTCTCTCTTCTTTCTTCACTTGTCTTTTTCCCTCTTTCTCTGTGTCTTTCCTTTTTTAATATCACGGAATAAGATGTGATATCAATTTTAAAGTTTTGGTATAACTTTCTCTAAACCCAAGCCTGCAGCGATAACGAGATACGGCGCTCACAAAGCCCTCGGGATGCTGCCCTCTTGTGGGAACAAAAGGCATTACCACCCAGCGGTCCCATCTGAACCCTCACAGAGCACACACGCAGAAGCTGTGTGTGAGAGAGAGAGAGAGAGAGAGAGAGAGAGAGAGAGAGAGAGAGAGAGAGAACGAACTACACACGCAGGCACAAGCTTCTTACATCACACACTTGCGCAAACTTCAATGAGATACCTACCTCAAACTTCATGGAGACTTAAAAATTCATTCTCTAAGCCACCTGACTTCTTTTTCATGTCATTCCCAGTTATATAGGTTAGAATATCTACACAGGGAAGTGGAGGAGAAGGAGTAAGGTGGGCCGAGAGGGCGGACAGATTTCCGGACGAATACTTAGGATGGCGATAACAGCTTTCTGTTGTCAAAGGTTGCGCTGTCTCTCTCCCCTGCTCTCTTTGCCTTAGTGTCCTACGCACAGTTCTCTACAGCTACAACATGTGTTTTCTCGGAGTGGATTTTGGGGCTTGGGGGGCGGCAAGAAAACCAGAAACCCGCCACGCAGATCTGTCACCGCCTCCAGAACAAGGCACAGCTCTCCCAGAGGGGGATGCATCCTGGGGATCCGCGTGTCCGCCGGCGAGCGGCAGGCGCTCGGGCCCCTTTCTCAACTCTACTCCCCCTCTGCGTCGGCCCCGCTGAGCGCCCTCCTCCCGCTCCTCCCGCCCCCTCTCCCCTCCCCAGCCTGGCTCGGAAACCCGCCGGGGCTGGGCGGCCGCGACTCCCGGCCACCCGCTCCCTCGCAGGACTCCGCGCGCTCCGCTCTAGTTCCTCCGCCTGTCCGACCCTAGCCCCTAAGTCCCAGCTTAGGAAAACTAGCCCGGGAGCTGCCTGGAAGGGCGAGGGCGGAAGGCGCGGGGGACGGCGGCCCGGCCCGGGGTTCCTGCCCCTGCCCCCTCCGGTCCCCAACAGGTAGCTCACAAACGGGCCGCGCGCGCTCTCGCTCTCCCTCCCTCGCTCTCTCGATCGCTCGCTCCGTCCCGGTTACCTGGGCGGGCTCCAGGATGGTGCCGCACGGGAGGGCTCCTTGTGCGCTGCGCCTCGAGAGTAAATGGCATTAAAGAAAAAGGGAAAGATACGAATAAAAAAATTTTCTTAAGGAAAGGGAGTCGATGCGAGGTCAATTAGCACAACCCCGAAAGCAAGGGAGCGGAGCCCCTCCACCCCCCGCGACGCCGAGGCCGGCGCAGCCCGTTAACTCTAGTCTGCGGGGGTGTCCCGCCTGGGGCGGGGGAGCGCTGACCCGCAGAAGTTTGCCGCTGGGGTGCCGGGAGGTGCGCGCAGAGCGGGTAGACTAGGGATTTCCCCCTTGAAACAAGTGAAGGCGATGGTTAGTGCTGTCAATCTTGGCAATCAGTGTGAGCGGCCATGTCGTAAGTATTCAAAGCATTTCCCGTCGTGCAACATCAGAAAGTGAGTGGCCAGGGCATTGATCTGAGCGAGGGAGAGGAGGCAGGGCTCCCCTCCCAGACAACACAGGCAAGATGAGACAAGAGGCGAGGGAGGCAGCGAGCCAGGCAGGGAAGCTGGGAGGGAGGGGGGAGGACGGGGGAAGAAGAAGGAGGGGAAGGCGGGAGGCAGAGGCAAGAGAGCAGGAGAAAGGGCAGAGATCGGCGTGAGCGGAGGTTGGAACTGTAGAAAGCGCCCGGGAAGAGAGACTGAAGCAACTTACTAGAAGGGAATTGGAGGGGGACAAAGCAGAGGGAGAGCTTGGGTCAGAGCGGAATGGTGACAAGTATAAGGTGCGAGAGGGGCTGAGGAGTAAAGGGCCCGAGGAGCGCTATTAGGACTGGAGCTGCTGGGAGGAGGAGTCAAGAGGAAGGCAAACTGAAGTGGGGGAAAGGTAGACAACTGGGGAGAAGGAAAGGACAAACTGGGAAAAAGAGAAGGTAAAGTGGGAGGGGGAAACGTAGGGGTGGTAGTTTGTGCTTTGAAAAAGTTATGTGACAGAGGAGGGATGGACTGAGGGTTAAGAAATACTGAGATACAGAACTGGACCACAGAAGTGAGTCATGAGAGATACAGAGAAAGGGGAAGGACGGGGGCTGAAGCAGACCAGAAGAAGGAAAGAAGGATGAATATTAGATGAATAATAAGGATGAAGGAAAATGAAAAATGAAGTGGTAGAAAGAGTAAAGAAAGAGGTGCAGGAGGCATAGATAATGAAAACACACCAGTTAGTAGGATCTCAGTAAATGGGAGAAGAGAAATGTATGTTAAAAGATGCAGAAGGGGAAACTGAAAAGGAAAAAAAGAAAAAGCAACTGATATAGGGGATTCTTAGCTTATGTAGCTGGCAGTGTTCTGGAGGCCATGTGGATTATGGAATTTATGAATGAAAATTATTATAAATAACAAGATGTACGAACTACCAAAGAAAAATGATTATACCTTTACAACAATAAACAAACAGTTCCACATGAATTATATGGATAAGTTTGTGTTATGTGGACTTGAGTGTGTGATATATGTGTACTATCTCAAACTCTGTATAGGAATATATTTGGAGAAACAATTTCAAGAGGGGTCGCTTAGAAGTTATACAAGATGAAAAGAATTTCAGTTACCTAGGACAGCATGTAAAACTCCAAAGTCAGATGTAGAAAATTATGTAAATAAGACTCCCAAAAATAAATTAGTGAAAGATTCCTTTGATGCATGTGTAGGATAGATAAAAGATTTGAAGGGTATAGAATGGCCTAAAGAAAAGCAAAGACCTGGAACTTTATCTCAGTGCAAAAAAAGCTGGGGGACTTAGAAGTGAGAAAATGATCATACGTTAAGGTAGTAGAGATACAGAGTATAAGAGACATGAGAAAACCAGCTTTGACAATAAGAGACACAGAGATAACTATAGGCAGTGTGTACGAGGGGAGGTTGACCTGCCTTAACCCAGGCTCAGAGAAAAAGACTAGATTTGAGAAACTGATGTCAGTGGAGACTCAAAAGTACATCAAGATTAAAAACTGGGAGAGAGGTTCTGACATACCAGCATAATCTGCAGAGGTATGTGGAAGGAGAGGCCCTTACTCTGTAGAAACTGATATGAGATGGCCACTTTGCGATACTTCATAAACAGACATGAAAGAAGATATGAACCAAGAGAGAGGGGTCAGAAATTTTGACTAGAAAATCCAGAATATTCATGGCAATCTAAAGTTGCCATTTGGGGGAAGACCTCCCACAGATAAAAGGTTAGGGGGAGAAGGCCTCATCTTTGTCACATTAACTTTTCGGAAGATGGGGAAAGTAAGCAAGCACGAAGATGGAACAAGCTAAGTGTCAGTCATACACTGGCTTCTTCAGGTATCCTTCATGTTTGGTTTCATATGGATTCCAGAGAAGGAAATAAGGGTGGGGGTGACCACCTCCAATTAGTGGGACATGAGAAAGAGCTAGATGCTTCTACCCCAATAAGAAATATGATACTTGAGTACTGGGAGTTAGGAGCTGCAAGTTAAAGTGACTTGATGACTGTAGCTGAGAGGAGAGCTAGTCCCCACCAAAACATTGTGTGTCCCCATTGCTCACAGCGATTTTCAGGACTGAAAGGTCTGCCTCTAGGCACGAGGTAGGCTAAGAGAATGCCTAACACCTTGCATGACAGCTCTTTCCACGCGTGCCCAAAACTGGCTTGCCCTTGACCTCCAAGACCCTAGGGGCAAACCCAGATGGTGTTTCCAGCTTAAACTGGGGTCAGTCTCTTCTGGGATTTGTTTTTTGTTTTTATTTGGTTTTGGTTTTTGTGAATAGTGTGGCCCATCGCTGGGATCCAGAGCTCTTGGGCCGCCTGCCCTGGAACTCAACCACAGGAGCCAATCTCTCCAAAAACTCCCAATCAAGTGACCTGTCCTAATGCTTGCAGAGTTAGGGCAAAGAGTAGAGGTGGTACTTTTAAGTCTCAAAGCCTGAATTCTCAGGCAGGAGCCACGGAGGAAGGTGAAACATCCGGGGAGGAAATGGTGGTGTTCCACTGGGTTCCTCAGAGTTGCTGCGACAAGTTTGGCTTTTCAAGTACCGGCGCGCATCGGTCTCTTTAAATCACATAGCACTCGGGAACCTGGGGGGTAAGACTGACCCTGCCGACGAGTTGCAGGCCACTGGCAGAAGGCAAAAAAAAAGTTAAAAGAAGAAAAAGGCGATATTATCGAGATTTCCCTGTCTCCAAGGCCCTAAGAATGAGCCACGATGTACTTCCCAGGAGGGAGCTACAGGATTCCTCTTTAGATTTTATCTAATAAGCTGATACCAAAGTAGAAAAATAAGGCAGAACCCGGGGCTGGTCACACTATTAATCCCCAAAGTGAGGGAAGTAAAGTTTGGGGTTTTCATGCCGCACTTCAGGCTGTGCACAGGGTGACACGTGGCCCTGGGGGGTGGCGGGGTGCCCTCGGGGGTTTTCCCTCTAGCTTCCCGCATGACCGTGCAGCGCAGGGGCTAGGTGATGAGCCCTACACTGGCCATCAGCGCGGGCCTCTCCACCTGGTCCGCACTGCCCTGCGGGCTCTGGAAAGTCCCGGAAGTAGCAGAGGACACCCAGGCTCCGCGGCCAGATTAAGGGCGCACAGGCTCATTTTCCGTGCGGGTTGGAACCCCGCACTGGCGCAAGAACCCCGGGCGAGAGCGAGGGGGAATAGGGCGCAGATAGGAACTTACTTACATGCCCGCAGCTGGCTGTCGCTGCCTCCGTGCTGTCCAGATGTCCCTGCGCACCGCGACCGACCGGCAAAGGCAACCAGGCTTTGCTAAGTTTGGCCTCGCACCTCCAGAGAAGAGGCGCGAACCCGCAAAGGGAAGGACTGTGCGGTTCCTAGAGAGGGGTCCCCCTGGACGTAGGCAGGGTAATGCAAGGACTTCGGCTCCTGAAGTTCACATTTAAAGCACCCACGCCCAAATCAGAACAACTGCTAAAAACCTCAAATGCTCGCTTCGAGTCTCCTTCCACCAGCCAAGCGGACAGTTCAGAGCTGCATGACTTCATCTTCAAATCCCTAACTTCTTTCGGGAAGGGCTGTCTAGCTACAGTATAGATAAGATCAATGTAAATGTCTTTACTTCCAAAATGCGGGCAGTGAGAACTTTTGCTGAAACGAAGAATTAGTGAGAGTATTTTTTTAAAAAAACACCAAAAGGGAAGAAAGTTGAAAACTTTAATGACAGCATGGAGAAAAGTTTTAGCCACTGGTTTCCTTAAACAGGGAGAACAAGCATGCCAACGCTCCATCGCACTTCATTTCAGTTTGGTGGAACCAAATAACCCGAGCTCCCCAATAACAGTGCCCTTGGGACTCTGCCTCAAGAGGTCGGAACTCGAGTTCCAGCAACAAAAGCCAAACACCAACTGCGAATAATTCTCTGCATCTAGAAGACGACATTTTTGCAAAAGGACCAGGCATTGTCCCTTGACTTTAAGTGTACAGAGAATAGCATTACATTTCACCTGAGCCTGCGCCTTATCCTGTTGGGAAGACCACAGAGGCAGCGACAGTCGCAGAGCAGCACCGTCACAAAGGAGGTGGGGGAAAGTGGTAAAAATGCATGAACTTTTTACAAAGGAAAATCAAGAGAAATAAAAAATAAGTTCTACAGATATGTCTTTCCTGGCTAAGGAAAGTTCATGTTAAATGTGTGTCTGCTGTCTAAGGCGCAAAGCCCAGGGTAGGGGAGTGCATGGCTGGAATCTGCATGCTGATAAGAGAAGGCTGATGTACTTACAGTGACAGAGGGCAGGCTGCGGGAGAAAAGCTGTTTGTGTTAGCCTGCGAGTTACCCAGGGCTGCAGTGAGAGCAGAAGGGAGGAGTGGGAGTGCCAGTCTGCGTACACCTTCACCGCGTCTCATTACATCTGCCAGCCTCTCTCTCCCTCTCTTTCATTTCCACATTCCCTTTGTTCCTGAAAAAAAAAAAAATCTACACGTCACATCAGAGTCCCCAGATGCAGTCTACACCAAAGAAAAAAATGAATAATTCAATCAAACTGTGCATAGTCTCTAAGGCAATAAATCTATTGCACTTAAAGAAACGAAGGGTAATTACCACCACGGAATTAGAATAAGGCCAAAGACCCGAGATGTCGTTGAGTCTCTGGGTAAACTAACTCCCCCATCAAATAAAGTTTCATTTATTGAATCCTTTTGACATCTCAAATGAAAAGTCAGGGAAAGATTTTTAACTTATTTTACCAGGATATTCACTTCTGTTTAAACACATTTTAGAAAAGGGTAAGAAGAAGGGGGGGGGGCTCCCAAGGGATTCAGCATAAGAGCGGGCACAGGCAGGAAACCAGACAATGTGTCCGAGGAGCCTGTCCGGGTCCATTTCTCCACCACCCCCACCCTCCACCCTACCCGCCCCTCTCCACCCCCCTCCACTGCTCTTTAATCAGCTGAGGATTGCCCTTCACTCGCACCCACCACCGCAGTTCCGCGCGAGGGAAACTGGAGTGTGAGAACTTACCTGCAACACCAAGACCCATGAGAAATCCCGCTGCCCTGCCACCAACACCCATGCCATCCCCATGCACCCTTCCAAAGTCCTGTAACCGTCTACTTCTTCCATCTGCCTAAGGGAAACTGTAAACGGGACCCCCCCCCCTTCCCCCAATTGAATGGAAGCTCTGTACTGTACCGACTTCTGGATTTGCCCTGGGTTTAGTTTAGGGAATGTCTGGAAAGAAAAAAAGGGGAGGAAGAAAAGGGCGGGGGGCAGCTCAAGCCTTGTCCAAGTTAGTCAGAAGGCTGTGTTAGGCAGGAAAGAGCCTACAGGAGAAACAGCTGGGATGCAGACGGGCTATGGAAATCTCAGTTCTAGGAACCGTGTCGTGCCCTTTCGTCCGGAGGTAAGAGTGTATGATTGTCGCACGTTTATTCTTTCGCTGTCTGTGTGTCTCTCTTCCCCAGCCCCGGTGACCCCACCCTCCCCCTCGGGTCAGCTAGCATGCACCCCCGGAGAAGGGCACAGCAAGAGGGCTCTATTTTCCAGGTCTCTCCACTTATCAATTGTGGGTGTCACTGAAACGCTATTAGCAAATCTTCCACCGCTGCCAGCAGCCACCAGACCCCGGCCCTCTGCTGGTTGCGCACTGGTCGCAGCATCTCGGGCTGCAGAGCGTCCGAAAACCCCAGCCCTTGGGGGGATGCCAGCCTGAGGGTTCAGGTGATGCGGGGGAGACGCGGCGTCCCAAAGGGTTCCGCTGACAGTATTCACCCCATCACCATCTCCCGCGCTTGGAGACACACACACACACACACACACACTGCCATTCTGACCGAACTCCTCATCTGAACTCAAGTCCCTTAACAGTCAATTCAGCCGGTTGGGGACCAGCGGGAAAACTAGGATGATACGTGGAGGAACTGCGAGGGTGCCAACCTGCGACTGGGCCGAGCTTTGTTTACGTGCCTAAGTCGCCACCTTGAGGTCGAGCGGAAGACTGCGCCTGGCTCCCGCCGCCGCGATGAACCCTGCTAACACCGGCCCCGCAGCCTCGGCGACTGCCGGGCACCGCTTTATAGGGAAGCAAAGCGGGGCGCCCCGCGAGCGGAAGGGGCCGCCAGGTACCGCCTACCCTCCAAGAACCGGACTGAGAAGAGTGAGGGCTGAAACAGCACACTCGCTGAAACCCATACCGGGAGCCTAGCGAAGGTGCACTCTCCCAGCAAAGTACAAAGCTTCGGACTAAAGAGTCTGTAGCTCTAGGGCAGGCGCTGCTGCCCCGAAACTTCAAGCAACAACTCCCAGGGCACTGGCGGAGGATGGAGGCAGCTTCCTAGCGGCTTGGCATCTGCTCCGTTCCTGGCCTAGGACCGAGCTCCCTTTTGCAGCGGCCTCAGCTCAGCACGGACTCCGCGCAGCACTCCCGGGGCTCCTCTCCCGCTAGCTCGCCACTCTCGCCACTCTCGGGGCAGGAGACAAAGGGACTCAGGGGCGCGGCCAGACCCGAAGTCACTAGCGATGGGATGGGGCGGGGGAGGGGGGTGGAGGGGTGGAGGGGGGTGGTCAGGGAGGTAAGCTCCCTGACGAGAACTGCGCTTAAGCGAGGGACGCCTTGGCAACTCCGCCGCCTGAACACTCTGTCTATAGTCGCCCATTTCTCAGGAAATCCGTCCTTCTGATGGTCTAACAATGGATTCGGTAAAATAATAATGATTGTTAATTATATCAGCGATTTTCAACTTTCCCACCCCTACCTCTATAGAAACACTTTTTCACACACCGTTCTTTTTGCATGCACGGCTTGCATCGTAAGGATACCAGGCTTAAGAATCCCCTAGCTAAAACCTGAAATAACTTGTGTTTGTTCTTTGTTGTGCCTGGACACTGCCTCCAAGGCTTGGGGAAGTCCACAAGGCCACTCCAAGTCCATCTTCCCCCGTGAATAGGGCCCCTTCACTCCGGAAAGAGTGCCTACTCAGTCATATCCCTGTTACTTGGGTGCACAGACATTGTTTAAAGGTAATGCTTTACAAAAGAAGAATTGTATTTATCTCAAGAAAAAGGACACTCAGAAACTATTTTGTGTAATCTGAGGCCATGAATCACCCCTTACTGACGCCAGCAGGGGTCTTTCAGTATTTTAGTCAGCATAATAATAATAACAAATAATGAAATAAATTAAAATTTAAAAAGAGAACCACAGCAACCCAGTGCTAATAATGGACAATAGTAATGTCTTTTCAAAGAGAAGCAACAGGCCCCCAAACCAGACCCTATTCCTCTGTTTGATGCCACAGCCTCGCACATTAACATTGGATTGCTCCTTCACTGATGTGGAAAGCTGAGTGTTATTGAATACAGTACTGAATTTTCCCAGGGAATCCCAATTATAGAAACACCTGTGTTAAGTAATGTTATTCTAATCCACTGTGAAAACCTAAGTATGTAATAGCCCTCAAATCATCTCATTTCTTAGTTGCAGTGGGGTGGGCCAACCTCATGGAAGAACATTAGACTCTACAATGCCCCCAAGAACCTTATCTGGGGGGGGGGGGGGTCTTGGTTTTACCAGACCGGACCCTGGCAGCTCATTTTCTCTTAAATGGAAGGATATACACATGAAGCTTAACATAACTGACAGAAACTAAGCCTGAGTAGAAACCTCATTTAAAGAAAATCAAATCAAAGGCCAATGACTATAAAACTGGAACACATGGCAAATGGCACATGTACAGTCAGGCACCAATTCCATGATCTTTACATCAAAATCCTAACAACCTGGGAGAAGTTCTCATTATTCTGAATATATACTTCACTTTGCTATAAATAGAATATCAATGGCCAAATACGATGAAATAAAACCATTGTGGTAGAAAACAGAAAATTATAAACCTATACCAATTCCCTCCAAAAATACACATCAGACTTAATATTTTAAAATGCCAGACCCTAATACTTTTGAAATGCTATCTGAAAGAAAATTATGTATTAATGAAATGATTGCTTTATAGCTTAAGGCTGCCAAAACTAATGCCACTAAAAGATCTAGATGAAAAGTGAAATGTTTATCACTCATCCAAATGTTTGTCTTACAGTGATATATAGAATTATATTTCTAAAAGTGATCTAGATAATTACATAGGTAAGCATGTTTATCGCAAAAACCACTGAAAGAAAAATATGATAGAGTTATAGGAAAATCCAACCACAAAAATAGACTTTATTCACTAAAATTCAAAGGATCTCATGGGATAGCATCCTTCTGAGATATCATGTTACCTTTTCACCATCAAGTAATATTGTTAAAGCATTTGCATTCTTTCATATGTGCTTCTCTGTGTTTAAAGAAACACTGCTTTCCAAATCTGAGGTTTATAATCCACTAAGATGATTACCATTTCATTCATTATACATTTTAGCCACACCTGAAACATTTGATAAATCATATAGATCCATTTCAGTGCCTAAAAAAGACAAGCAAGGGATACAAAAATAATGCTGTAAAACTGCTCACTGATAAATATCAAATAATAAAACAATAATTTACTAATATTACTAGTCTTTAAAAGTTTGATGATTTACCTCATAAATTTTATGCTTTATATATTGTGTTAACATTGTTTTAAAAATAGTTTGATTAAATTATCTACTTTTAAAATTTGTTACTTAAAATTTTTCTTCCAAATCTCAAATTGCTATTTTTAAAATTTCTAAATAGAGGATTTCTTTTGTTTGTATGTGTTTTTAAATATCACAGTTATGTTAAAGACTTTTGCTTGTTTCCCATCTTTTTTATTCACATATAAGTATTTACTGAGTGCCTAATACATGCAAAGCAAATAATTAAGTGTGTTAACTAGGGATCCATCTTTTACACTATTATGATTTAATAAATATTAATTAAAAACCTATTGCATATATACTGAAAATTAATATTTTAAAGTTATTGCAACAGATCTTTTTAATTTAGGATGCAATGTATTATTGCAAAAGCCTTCTTAATATATCACTGCCAGAAATAGTTCATTGACATTAATGACTTGATTACTGGAACAGAAAAAGCCTGAGGAAGTAAAGCATTTATTTCCTAAAAAATAAATATGGCAAAAGATTTAGAGTTTTAAATTAATTGTTTCTTTGCTAACAAATACCATTTTCCTTCATTGTACATTACAATAGGAAATATGTCTAAGAAAACTCTGAAAATGATTTAAAAAGGGACATTATGTCTAATTCTACATTTAATCATGCATCTTTTTTAGATATAATATAGCCTCTGTTGCTAATAATTTCAATTAATTACTACAAAGCAATGACCTCAAAATATCTATAAAAATATTATAATCCTAAAAGTAATATTTAGAAAATAAATGAGGACAGTATGTGTGTATTTCTAAATGATAAAAAATAATCTAAAGACATATACAACTTATTCTTCTTGATAGGATTAAGAGGACTCTAAAGAAGGATTTAAATCACCAGTTTTCCTAACAATTAGCAATGAAAAACAGATGTGTACAAAGCTGTTTCATACACTGTCTTAAAAGATGATAAGAGATGGTTTGTGGGTAGTAAGAAGGAAGAGCCAGTTAAATGTGTGCCGGGTGTATATTTAAAGAGCATTTTCATTGGCTTAGTTATTGTTAATAGTGAAAGAAAACATTTTGTGCTGCACATACTGTAAGACTGTGACTATAAAAAACTGCCATCATAAAGTCCTCAAAAATTCTTAAGATGTAATTTACAAAGATAATAATAACACGGAATTATTTCACTTCACTGAATGCTACCCATTTGCATACCAGGACTGTGTACAATACAATCATAATGCACATTCATAATAACAAGGACTTCTAACACTGTAACAACAGCATAAGATCTGTGTATTAGACAATCTATTCTACCAAGTTTACTTATTTGGTGTGAGCTAGCCAGGTGTTAACTGTCTATACAATTGAAGACCAACCACATTAACTACTAAATTACCATTGTGAGAAAATATAATGATAAAATTGCAAATCATGTGACCCTGCGAGGAAATAACAGTATTATCTAGTAGTACCTATCTAGTATTATATTGGAAAATGTCAAATAAATATTTTTAAAGTTGTATTTCACCGGCCTATACTACAAAAGAAACCACTTAAAAACATAACTTATGTTTAATTATTTTTGATGTTATTATTTCTTGAACCATAAATCATGCTAGGCATTTTTAAAATGTTTAATTATTAAATATTAGTTTGGATGCTTTTATTTTCTGAAAATGAATCTAATAATGAATCTTCATGAAGCATTTATCTCCTGCCTACCTTTTATTAACTATGTATTGTTGTCCACTACAGATACTAGACAAATTCTTATTTTGTTTATTGTCATGTTTCTTGTCCTTAGTCAGCAGAAAATATATCCTAGTAAGAAACAGAAATGCAGTATTTATATTGCCCAGGTGAATTATTTTCTAAATTTACTCCTGATATTTTTATATTAGTCAAAATAGAAAAGATATTTTTGAAACAAAGAGAAGAGAAAGGCACAATATTGCAACAAGTACAATATGTAACAGTACCTAGATTGGCACAAACTGAACAAAAACATCTAATTAGGAAAAATTCCTGAATATATTAAAAAATTTACATTTTTTACATTTTTTAAATTAAAATTGTGTTTAATATGAAAAATGCAACAGAAGATAATTACTTGTCCTTAAAATTTTATTAAATATTCAATAATGCATAGGCACTTATTTATGTGAATATTATTATTGAAATTGAACATATTTTACTATGAAGCTTCAATTATCTCCCAGATTATAACAAAGTATGAAAAATATTCAAGTAGTTGACTTCATTCGATTAAAAACGTTTTTAAAATATATGATTATTTTCATGAACATTACAATTTATATTAGGAGCATGACACTAAAATACAAGGAACTGCCTCAAACCAGTTACATTTTGGTCCTTGTCATTATGTTAGTTAGAAGATTGTTCAAATCAACAGACTTCTATTACCCTACCCTTACAACCCAAGTTTAATATATTATATAAGAAGGAGAAATCTATAAAATGACTTCAGTTTTCAAAATCAACACCAATAGGAAGTCTCTTATACATTTTAAGTTTTATGAGTGAGATTACAATGTTTTTGCCCCCGTTCTCTTTTTAAAATAATTTTTAAAATAACATTTTATCCATTAATGTTTAAGAAATAATTTTGCAAAGTCAATAAGTGATTTAATTTTATCACTGATATTTTCTTATGAACATACATTATCTATTTGGATGTGATGATAAAAATTGCAAGGACTTCCTGGGTGACAGGAAGTAGAATATACTATAATCGTCAGCTGTGGAAAACTCTTTAAGTAAAAGGTGTACTCAAGGTTTTCACCAAAATCAAATAATTATATTTAATATCAACATAACTGTGTGTAAGGGATAATCCAATATAGTTGTTTTACTTTTTACTTTTAATCCTTTAACCCAGAATTTTAGCAATTTTGTAACTTTTCCAAATATAGAAATGTAAAAATTAAGTACCAACACACCTTTCCTGAAATAAGGCCACATAGATCTAATCTGGGAGTCTATGTATAGGATGTGCTTATTTTATTTAAATTCATTAACCTTTTTGCCATAATTTTATTTGAGCCACTTTAGGTATGACTATCACAATTTTGTAGACTTGTTCTTATTTTTAATATAATTCCCACTGTTTTATAAATTACTTCTACATAATTATTAAAAATACTATTTGCCTTTTATCATTTGACAAATCTGAGCACCTGAAATGTGAACTTCTTCATTCTGCTTTCATCTGTGTGCCTATATTTGGAAAAGCATGCAATCTAATTTCTTTCTATTTGTAATTAGTATTTCACAAACAAGGTTTACATAAAACAGCTAATATTCTACTGCTCTATAGTTACACAATGAGTACTCATATGCTACTTATAACTATTTTTGTGGCATCCTTAAGTAAATTAAAAATCCTACAATGAGCTAGGAGCAGTTTATCCAAATAATATCCAAATGTGCAACACATGGGTGCTAAGATCTAAGCTAGGTAAAAAGAATTGTGATATCTGGATTCCATGCGCATACAGTTCACAAACACCACATCATTCTAATAGATGCATTAAAAAATGCATCAGTCACATGAAAATGAAGGGTCATTCAAATGCCACAAAACACAGTACACAAGTAGTACGAGTATCATCTTAGTTTTCCAGAGGGTATAGTGTTGTACATTAAGATGATTTAGAGTATCAGATTGTCTTAATATTACAATTTTGTTTCTCATTGACTATGTATACAAGTGACTAGCATATAGTTTAATAATCAGCTTCTAAAATAATTTATAGAAATCTATCAACTGCAGAATTTATTTCTGATTGCCAAGTTTATAGTACCCTTAACACACCTATCAATAACCCTGCATTTTAAGTTATTTCTACCTCCTAAGTACTACTTCTACATTTACTATTGAGAAAATTAAAGCATCTTATAGCAGACATCCTAAGAATGCCTATACACAGAGATTCCCATGAAATTCAATCAGAATAAAGAAATCTTGATATACTTTTAAAGCTAGTGTGATTTATGTCATTGATTTTTTTTTTCTTTTTGTCCAGGATCTGATTTCTTTTAGGCCTTAAGAATATACATATCTTCACTTATTTATGAAAATCACTGTAAGTATTTCTTTTGCTATTTAACTGCATATTTCTGACTAATGTGCTTAGTATATTTTAAGCTTTGTACATAAACTGCTTTTTAATTTAAAATGTTTTTTTTTTAATTTTAGACATTATCTATTGTCTTCTTGTTTTGGCAGGGGAGTATTTAATTCTTAAATATCATCTCTCCCATCCTCCCAATATAATCACATAACAACTCTTGTCTAAATCAAGTCAATGCTTACATTATCACACAAAGTAAATTTTGTTCATAGCTGAGCCAAGTAGTTTACTACAAATACATGTCATTTCTTTTATAACATTTTTGTTTCTTCCTATTAAACCACAGTTTATAATAATTTACTTAGTTTTTATGGACTTATTATAACTTTTTTCATGTTTTTGCCTATCAGTATTATTTTTCAAATTGTCAAATATATAATAAAATTTTTTTCTTGGAAACTGTAAAGGTTAATTTTATGTGTTGGCTTCACTAGAACAACATGCCCAGGTACCTGGGTAAAACATTATTCTGGATGTTTCTGGTGTTTTTGGATAAGCTCAGCCAGTGTGGCTCAGTGTTTGAGCGCTGACCTATGAACCAGGTCACAGTTCAATTCTGGTTGGGGCACATGTTCGGTTGTGGGCTCAGTCCCCAGTAGAGGGAATGCGGGAGGCAGCCAATCAATTATTCTCTCTCATCAGTGATGCTTTTCTCCCTCTCTCTTCCTCTCTAAAAATCAATTAAAATATATTTTTTAAAAGATTAACATTTAAATTGGTGGACTTCAAGTAAAGCAAATTACCCTCCATAATGAAGACCTGAATAGAACAAAAGGACCAACTCTCCTCAGAGTAAGGGAGGATTCTCCAGCAGACAGCCTTCAGATTTGAACTGGAACATCAGCCATTCTGAGTCTCCAACCTGCTGGCCGACTCTGCAGATCTTTGGACTTGTGAGTGTCCACAATCTCATGAGCTAATTCCTTACAATAAATCTCTTTCTGTATATATACACATCCCATTGGTTCTGTTTCTCTGGTGAACCCTAATATAGAAACCCTGTCTTTCCTCTCAAATTCTAATTGATTGCTCTCTATGCCTTTACATAATAGTCATCCTGGTATTTGCCTTTATGCTTGCTTGTGTTGGATTCCATCTTTCTCTTTTTTTGTTTTACTTAACTCATTTTATTGGAGCACATTCTCTCTAATAACTTCTTTAACAAAAAGGATGCATAAGAAGCCCAGCTGGTGTGGCTCAGTGGTTGAGCATCAACCCAGGCACCAATAGGTTACCAGTTTGATGGGTTTAGGGCTTGATCCCCAGTAGGGGGCGTGCAGGAGGCAACTGATCAATGGTGCTTCTCTCTCATCTAGGTTTCTATGTCTCTATCCTTCTACCTTCCTCTCTAAAGATCAAAAAAGGGGAAAACAATTTTTAAAGGATGCATAAGTAAATTTTAGTTGTTGCATATCTGAAAATTTATCTCTCTCATGATATTCACTTGATAGTTTGGGTATAGAATTCTAGGTTGAAATCATTTCCCTTCAAAAATTTTTGAGCATTATTTCATTGTATTCATGAAATTCATGCAATAGGGGCTTGGTCCCTGCCACCGCTGCTGCGGTGGCTGCCTCTGCCTCAGCCCCCACCACCGTGGCTTCATCCAGAAGGTCGTCCAGAAGGACGTCCAAAAGGATGTCCGTTCTAATTAGCATATTATGCTTTTATTATTATAGACATGAATATTGAATATATATACATATATATTATATATTTGTTAGAAAAATGAGATTATGCCATTCACATTATTTGTTACTAGAGCCCGGTGCACAAAATTTGTGCACTCAGGGGGGGTCCCTCAGCCCGGCCTGTGCCCTCTCACAGTCCAGGAGCCCTCAGGGGAGCTCCAGGGAGCGGGCCTAAGCCGGCAGTTGGACATCCTTAGCACTGCCGTGGAGGTGGCAGAGGCTTCCACCACCACTGCTGTGTTTGCCAGCCATGAGACTGGCTTCTGGATGAGTGGTGCTCCCCCTTTGGGAGCGCACTGACCACCAGGGGGCAGCTTCTGCATTGAGCATCTGCCCTCTGGTGGTCAGGGCAAGTCATAGCGACTGGTTGTTCCTTGATTCAGTCAATTTGCATATTAGCCTTTTATTATATAGGATTTGCTTTCATAACACTACATAGACATGCCTTTAAATTTAGATAAAATGCATTACAGTAATAGCCTCATATGTAATAGCCGGGTATTCTATAATAATTTATAACACTATTCCTATTAATGTTCATTCAAAGTATATGCAATTTTTTATTTACCATAAAAATGCTGCAATAATTAACCGTTATTATTGTTCCTTTTTTTGCTAAGTGTGATTTCCAAAAGTGAACTCTGGGTATTTCAAAATGGCTGCAGAGTAGGTGGAAGCTACACCCTCCTGCTCCTGGCCCTAAACCAGATTTACAGCTAAATTATAAAGCAATCAACCTGAATAACGAATCTGAAGGCTAGCTGAACTGAAATACAATAACCAGAGATTAACTGAAGAAGCCATATAGAGACTGGTAAGGCTAGTCCCTGCACTCAGGTGGGATGGCAGCTGAAAGCTGGAGGGATATCACAACTACAAAACCCCTCCCCCAAAGAGCATGGGGCCTCAACTCCATGCAGCGATCTCCAACCCAGAGCAACAGAGCTGGAAAAAGGAGTCTTGTAGCATCTGGTGGGTCCAGACCTCACCTTACCAGACACAAGCATTCCTATTATTACAGCATCAACCTGGGGAGTGCAAGATCCTGACTCTGGCTGCTGATGAAGCCACACTGCCACACTCAGGTCCTGCTGAGGGGTCTGCTGGCTACACCCAGCAGTAACTTTAAGGGGCCTCTTTTTTCTGAGGAGGCTTTTGGCAGAGACCCAGACAGTGATTAAACTGTGCGTCTTGGAAAAGAGGGCTAGTCTCCCCCACCTTGAGTGTACAGCTAGCAACCCTCCCCCGGCCTGTTGAATCACTTAGTTGACCCCATCCTGCTGAGTTCAGCGGCACAGGGGGACCAGAGTGCTGGTGAGATTTTCAGACTGTCTCTCCCAGGGAAACTTTTGTTCAGGAACCAGATGGGGTGAGTGCTGAGCTGTGTGGCTATGTTGCAAGGAGGCAAATCTAATCTCCCTGAGAGTTCAACCTGTGCTCCCCAGGAAGAAGTGCCTGCCCCACTCCTATAAGCTTGTGGGCACCACCCCCAACAGGAGACTGTTTAGGTCAGCCCTGCCAAGTCTCCATCCCACCCTCCCGAGCTCAGTTATGTGGGGGGCAGGGAATGGCTCAGAACTGGGACAAAGTGTGAGACCCTTGGAGGCTATTGTCTGGGACCAGGATGAAGTGCTTAGTCCCCTACTGCTAGATGGGCCAGTATCATCTCCAATGGGAGACTCTTTTGATCTATCTATCCATCCCCTGAGCTTAGGGCAGCTGAGCTTGCAAATGGGCTTTGTATATGGTGATTAGTGGCATGCCTTTAAAATTTAGCCAGGCCCTAGCTCAGTGGTTCTCAACCTTCCTAATGCTACGACCCTTTAATACAGTTCCTCATGTTGTGGTGACCCCCAACCATAAAATTATTTTCATTGCTACTTCATAACTGTAATTTTACTACTGTTATGAATCGTAATGTAAATATCTGATATGCAGGATGTATTTTCATTGTTCTCAACCCACCTAGCTAGTATGGGTCAGCAGATAGTGTCAGCCTGTGGACTGAAGAATCCCCAGGTTTATTCTGGTCAAGGACACATGCCCAGGTTGCAGGCTCGATGGCATATAGGAGGCAGCCAATCATTTACAACTCTACCTTAGTCCTCACTTTCTACTTGCACAAAGCTTAAACATCAGCCAGAGGTGAGAGCTTAGGCCCTTTTTGGGTCTTTTCTGAAAATGTGCTCAGCCTTATACTAGTACATGTACTTGTCCTTCTAGATTCCCAGGAATATTTGTGGTAGATGGGTAAATGGCAAAAACAAAGGATTGATCAACAGAACAGTATTGTCTGAGAATTGTTTCTGCAAACTATATAATTTATTATCTAGTCAAAGTTCAGGGGAAGATAGCAAAGAGAAAGGAAAAGAGGCAAACGTAGAAAGCAATGGAGAAACTGGGGGTGCTCAGTCATGTTTGTTTTTAGACCTTTTATAAAGGGAAGCAAATTAAAGGATATTACAGATACCTTTCTTATATTAATGAGAAGTCATAGTCAAGAGAGAGGCAACTAAAATGAAACAAAGAAAAATGTAATTTTATTCTTGATCTGATTATATAAAAATAAAATTTTTAAATAAAAAAGCATAAAGAAGGGAAAAAACCCCATCACCCAAGATAACCACTATTAACCTTTTGTATTAAATCTCTCTGGTTTTTCTATACATTTGTAACCCAGATACACCTAGTTGGCTCTGGAGCCTAGAAAACATTTCCCCATTTACTTCCCTCTTCAAATTCATTTTCATCCTCCCTTTCTCTCTCTCTCTCTCTCTCTCTCTCTCTCTCTCTCTCTCTCTCAGAACTTTAGTGATCAAGTAGACTTCACTTAACACTTTTTGATAGGCTTTCTCCACAGCTAACAAATTTAGAATCTGCCTTAGTCAGTTTTGTTCTCCCAAACTCCTCCTCAGAGCAGCCCACCCCAACCTCCTATGTGGCTCCCCTTTCCTGGCTGTGCTTCCACTCCTCCCTCTCTGTAGAGCACTTCTCTAGCTCCCGCATTCAAACTTAATACACACACACACACACACACACACACACACATCCATTATGGAGATTACCAACTTTGAAATTGAATATCCAGCTTGGAGTCTTAAACCTCACAGGACTCTCCCCATAATGTTTTGGTAAATATTTTCTTCATATCATTACATATATATAGTCATGCATATATGTACTTTTTTCTTTTACAAAATTAGTTTTATCCTATTCTAACATTTTGTATCCTACTTTTACAGTCCATAGTGAGCATTTTTATTTAATTATAAATTCTTTATAAACACTATTTTATAGCTACATAAAACTCCATCATACAATAAGCCATGATGTTATGCATTAGGTTGAATCATATGAAATCAATGTTTTTGTATGTCCATAATAGTCAAATATCAGCATTTGCATATAATTCAATCTAATAACTATTCCCTTACTATTGGGCATTTAGTGTGTTTTCCATTTTCCCCATAATAATTAGTGCTACAATGAGTATCTTTGTACATAAATCTTTGTTATCTCTGGCTAATATTTTAAGCCCTATTCCTAGATGTGAGATTAAACTAGGTCAAATTGTATAAAGGATAATTTTAAATAACTACTTTCCATAAAGCTTGTACCAATTCCCTGGTAATTCAGAAATATCTCCATCTTACTATAACCTGGACAGAATTATTGTTACTAAAAACTTGAGACTCAATAAATAGTCTTTTATTATTATTTATCTTTGCAATTTTTCATTTTTATTCACTAATTACAGTTGTGTGTGTAATTCTTCTAATGATGTCCTAGGGCCAGTTCTCCAATTAGTATTATTGCCTAAATAAGAATTCTAATCCTTTATCATTTCTGCTACAAATACTTTATCACAAGTTGACATTTATATTTTAATTTAAGGATTTTTTTGGTGTACAGAAGCTTTAACTTTTAATGTAATCTATTCAATCCCAACTATCTGGCACCTGGGACCCAAGTTTCCCTTTGGCCACCAGCAGGCACTCAGGACCCGGGCTTCCCTCTGGCCGCCGGCAGGCACCAGGGACCTGGGCTTCCCTTGCAGCACCAGCTTCATCCAGAAGGTCATCCAGAAGGACATCCGGTCTAATTAGCATATTATGCTTTTATTATTATAGATAGTCCCTTAAGGCCAGAGTCAATGAGGCCTTCCTTTATCACATTTACTTAAACATAATAAAAATTGTCTTTATTC